GCGCAGGCCAAGGGAACGCAGTTTAAAATCCCTTCCCTTCAAGGGGGGGGCTTGCCAGGGCTCCCCGCAGCTGCGGGGCGCCCAGACAAGCCAAGGGAAAGCATGGGGGTGTGGCCTAATATGATAATGAGCTGCGCTGTCGGGTGTGGCTGAACATGATAATGAGTTTCTGCTGTTGGGTGTGGCCTATTATGCTAATGAGTTCCTGCTGGGCTGGAGAAAGGAAGTTCTGCTCTTTCTTTCCATGCTGTTTCCTCAGTAAGAACCAGACTCCACCTATCCCCACAGGCTACTGTTAGTTCTGATTAGGGAAATTAAGAGTATAAGCATCCTCTCTTTGCCTGCCCCCCCATAACTGAAAGCATTCCTGGGCAAGGGGGTGTTTTTGATCAGGTGTGTGTCTGAGGGCTTCCTATTTGCCCACCCATGGCAGGCAACTCCCCGACCTTCACCCAAATTCCCTAACCCCAACAGACTGAGAAGCAGGATTAAAAATGGCCGCAAAAGGATCTACCTAGTGGTGCTCTTGGGATTTCTCTGTGTCTGTGTAGTCTTGACCACAGAGATTAGGAAAAAATCCTAGATCCCAACGTAGTGCCCGTGGGTACCATAGTGTCTGCTGAGATCTTTTCTGGTGCCCACCAAGTGTTTTTAGAAAGTTAGTGGTGCTTTTGCCTACTTTGACTTTTGATTGAACACTGGACCAGATCATGCCAACCCTTCTCGCCAATTTCCATTGTACATCAGGCCCATTCCACTCCTGTCCACTCCAATAGGCTCTACTACCACATCAGAGGGATCTTCTTCAACACCATCACAAGCAAATACCCATACCTTCCAGGGTAGTCCTTTCTCTGCCATTGGTGGCTCAGGGACTCCAGTCTGCAGGGAGGTATCTCCTTTTTCAGAGCCAGCCAGAGTAGAAGTTACCATTGATGCCCGTCTCCTTCTCTGGAGAGAACACTGCCCCTTTCATGTCATTCAAGGAAAGTGAAATGACACGGACGGTAGACGTAGCATGTTTTGGCTATCTGTCTTGCACTTTGTTCATTCCAGCACCTGTTACAAGGGAACAACTGTATGAAGGCAAAAGCCTACATCAACCAACAGGAAGGAATGAGGTCTTGTTCTCTGAAGAAAGTGGCATTGCTTCTGCTTCTGTGGGTAAAAAGCCTTCTTCAAGTCCATTCTCTTCAGGTCATCTTTAACCTGAGGGCAGACTGGCTCAGCCACTGAGATCTGGACCCAGGAGCGTGGTTCTGCTACCCAAGAGGCCTTTACACAGTAACCAGGATATTGAACCTTCCTGGTCTGGATCTTGTGTCTCCATGGAAAAACAAGGTCCCTAGATTCTTGCCAGATTTCATTTGTAGGAGCCAGAGGGCAATGTTGGTTGCTTAGTCCTCTGGCACCTGAGGCTCCTCTATGCCTTCCTCCCAGCCCCGTAGCTAGGGATATTTTGTGGAGGGGGCCTGGGGGCCCCCACCAGCTAATTAAATCAAAGTTAATTAATGAAACTCCTTAGAAGCCAACCTTCCCCTAAGGCAGCCCTACACCCCCCCCAGACTCCAGGGCAAGTGGAGGGGGGTTAATGCCCAGCCCCCTACCCTTACCCCTTCCCCCCCCCCCCCCCGGAGCACTGCATACCTGCTCAAGTTGTGAAGCTAGGTAGGGAGAAGCGGGCAGCGGCATCCAGGAGGGGGATTGGCAGGGGAGGGGGGGGAGAAAGAGATCCAATGGTGGGAGTGGGAAGAGGCAGTAGGACGCTCTCCCCAGCCCTCTCACTTGGGGTAGCCCAGCAAGCCCGCCTGCCCACCCACTGCCACTGCACTACTGAGCAAGCCAGGCACCTCCTGCTGCTGGGACAGTGGCCACCTCTGTTGCTGCCGCCGCTGTTCTCAATGTTTGCTGGCTGGGAGTGGAGCGAGGCAGGTTGGAGGCAGCCAGGTCGGAGGCAGGAATTTTGGGGGCCAGCCCAGGAGGGAGGGGCCCAGAAGAAATGTTGGGGGCCAGGCCCCATAGGCCCCATGTTAGCTACGGGCCTGCTTCCTCCTGATGTTCCACATCACTTGAACTTTCAACAGAACAAGATGGAATTGGCAAAAGTCATCTTCACCACCCCATACTGTTCCAGGAAACCAAGGACTCTCCAAACAATGATGAAAACAACTGTTTCATTGGAGTGGGAAGAATGTTGAGTGTTAATTCACAGATTAGAATTGTTGACGTGTAAATTAATGTTACTTATGCAGCACACTGAGAAAAAGCTGTCATGTGAAACGGGAGTATATGCAAATTCCGTTGTGTGTAAGTGTGCTTCTACTTCTTTATTATTTGTTGAGGAAACACTATTCAATGCAAAACAGCAGTCTAAATATATTTTCATACTACATCATGGTTGTTTTCATCATTGTTTGCATCCCAAGGAATGTGACTGGCATTAGCTTGACATCTAGAGAGCAATCTACATGTAGAGGATGGGCACAAACTGAAAAAATGTGATTCGGTTCATGACATGCTCTGTTTGTGAACCATGGACCATCACAAACTTTTAACCACCAGCCCATCTGTGAGGTTTGTGACCCGATAGAATGCCCCTCCCCCCACATAGTAGAGACACCAAAGTCACGGGATCTCCAGCTTACTCTCCACCTGTCAGCCTGTCATTTCCCCCAGAAAGTGTGTTCCTGGGGGCACCTTCTTTGGGGGGCCATAACTCAGACCCCATAAAGCCAACCCTCACCAAACTTGGAGGGCAGGTAGAGAGGAGTCATCTGGAGAT